TATCGACTTTTTGCAAATATTAAAATGAATGCTATATGCATAATGTTGGAAAGCTTTGCTGTGTGAATATAGTTTTAGTTATTTTATTAACAAAACTTAGAAATTGTAGTGTGATAAATATATATATCTCTTGGACTACAACATGGTGCTGTAAAAAGCTTTTGTTCATGTAACTAACTCAAAGAATGGTGAAAAGATAATCAGGAAATTCTTCACATTCTTGGATTATCTTATCTGGATAAAGATAACCATGTGATAAATGTGATTCGTGCTAATTATATTGTAACTATATTAACAAAATTGTATTTAGATCAATAGAAGACAATTGTTACAGAGTGAGGGGGAGATGGGTGAGACAGGGCAAAGGACATCTTCCAGATGTTGGGAGTCGAAGAAGGAGGTTGGAAGAAAGTCAAACAAGAATAGTAGAAGGACGTAGGTCTGACAAGCAGCATCTAGAAATAGAAAATTTCGACCTTGCAATGGGCCAAAATGGGATGATTCCAAGGATGAGACTCAAAGTCTTGTTATGGAAAACATCTGCTCAGTCACACAGTGCGCCTGTGCTACCTGCAGGTCACACCTCGGTCATTGAGGAAGATGATGAGCCTTCATCGGAAATAAGACCCTCAAAAGGATGAGAGACCCCCTAATCCGTTAGTAGAGCATGCGCCGTACACATAGTGATGCACATTTTAGGAATAGAAACTAGGAGGAGTTTTCTAGAAACTTCTGTAGCCTACAGTATATAAGTGGGATTGTTAGCTTGGATGCTTTGGTACGTGAGAAATGGCGAGCTCCTCCTTGTAACCCCGGCTGGGGGGGGGGGGCACTCCCCAGTCCCGTCTCTGGTCCCCTCCCCTGTCCGTTTTGTTTATGCTTTATACGAACCTCAGTTATACTAAATTACTTACTGCCAAATTTTTTATATTCTCAAATATATGCACTTTGATTGCATTCATCTCCAATACTTTGTATTCATTTTGTTACTATTAAAAATTTGCTATTAAATTTAATCTTGTTGCTTGATAAATTGGAAAAATAGAACATCATTCATAACAACCAGAACTCCAGGGAAAGAATTTATTGATCAGGGAGTAGGTGACCAAATGGCGCCACAAAAAGTTATAGGTTGGGGGTGGATGATTTTGAATAATGCATGAAGGCCTATGAATATGCAACATGTTGATGCATTTAACAAAGTGTTTTCTGGGTTAGGATGTGCTCTTGGCTGGAGGCCAAGCACCCGGCCGTTATAACCTTTTGCTTTATTGTTTGTCTCTTATTGTCTTTTATTAAACTTTTTAAAAACTACCAGGAAAATGAACATTTTTTCACATACTCATATTCATTTTTCCTCATTGCTGGAAAGTGTTAAAAGCTACAATGTAATATTGGCTTTCACATTAATGTATTACCTTTTGCATGCTGGTATTGACCATAAATATTTGGATATAGTACAATGTATAATTCTACTTAGCTGTTTGTTAGTATAACATAATCTATTAGTTTAAGTATGTACCGTATAATTTATAGAAATAGTGGTGTGCTTAATGTATTGTATTGTAGGCCTTAGCAAAACACAAAATGTTTAAAATGCTTCTATGTGACTGAAAGGTGGGAAACAATTGTGTTGATTCCCACATCTGCTGACTGACCTCTCCAAGAGATAACAGTCACAAAAGCAGGAGAAGAATCCTAGAAGAGTTTGTTAACCCCTTATCAGAGGATGTGGAACAAGAGGACGGAGACACAAGAAGAAATAAAACATATTTCACAGGATGTTGTTCAGAAAAGTTAGAGCATAAAGAAAACCAAAGAGTTCCTGAAACATCAAAAACTCACAAGAATGTCTGAAGCACATGCATATGTATGTACCTCAGTAATGTAATAATATATAGATCACACTCTCCAACTTCACCAGTGTGCTTTTTGGCCAAACACCAAGGGAACCTCAGTACTGGTTAATTTTTTAAATCCCTTATTAAACTTTAAAAAAAAGAAAAAAAAAGAGAGATTGCAAATCTCGTTTTTTACAAAAGGGATTGATGAAAATTATAAGGAGAAGAAGCCATTTGAGAGCATCCACCTCTTAAATTGTCTTAAACCAAGACATAGAGGAAACAGGATCTCCAACTTAGCTCTCAGAAAAATCAACCCCTAGAAGAAACCAAATAGAATTGTGCAGAAAAATTCACAATGCCAGAGGTGTATGTTCAAAAAGGAGACAGAGGAGTCCTATAACTTTATTCTAATAAAGAGAGAGGCCATGGGGTATTCCCCTAAAGTCTCTCAAATTCCTGTAGGACGCAGCCTCCTTTTAATCCTATTTTCCTGGCTATATTACCCTCTCTCTTTCCCCATTGGCTGTGGTACTCAAGGGGTACAAACTTCTTGAATTGCTTACTACAGGACCTCCTTAACATATAATACAACACACACCCCACTCTCCTTTCTTTTGTTCATCATCTTTAAATTCAGGAACCTAACATGGCCTTGGTTGAGCAACAATTCCTTGTAAACTGGTAGCATTCCTTTCTATCTATCAGTCTCTGGGTTTACATACTAGCAGGCTTACACAGACTCTTAGTAAAGACACTCTAATTACTTTCAGAATTATCTTAAAATTGCAGGCCCACATATTGAGAAAGCAAGAAAATTACAGCCTGAAAAATACTCCAGGCCAGAGCTTCTCAGCTCTGTTCCCAGCCAATAAGCTGGTCCAGTTGAAGGCTAGGGAGAATTTCTCCCAGGGTGATAACTTGGTCAAAATAAAGAGGAATTAATAACAAAGATAGAACACCTGTTGTGGTGAATGACCATGTTGCCCGATGCCCCAAACAGAACACAAACTAACAGAGTTAGTTTATGCGGTGCTTTATTCAGGGCCCGGGGAACCTGCGGACTAGCGTCCAAAGTCAGGATCCCACAGTTCCCTTTTTCGTCAGGTTTTTATACCTTTTTACAAAGTAGTCTACGTGCAGAGGTACACATTCTTCAAGACAATACAGATACATAAATCTTGTAGATATCATTCCTAAAAGTTATAAATTCTGCATGCTTGTCTATTCAAAACTATAGGCTACCCCCCTTTAATCCCCCTTGCCTGTTTTCCCATCACCAGAACCCTTTATTTATTATTATACTTTAGCCTTATCTTGAAAGTTTCTAAATGTTCTATATGCTCTACTAAATTCTTTAATTATCATTAATTATTGTTTTCACAGTTCCCAGCTCATTCCCAGGGCTGGTTCCCAGGGCCTGTCCGAGAACTGCAGTTTTCTAAGCCTTAGCATGACTACTACTATATCTACATTAGTCCTTTTTCTCATTATTTCGGTATCAACCAAGCCCTGGGAATGGGGTGTCTTCTCTTTGAAACAATCATCTTTCTTCTGCTCTTGGAGTTGCGAGTCATGGTATAAAACCAAGTGTGTTTCTCAAGAAACTTGTCTCCTTCCTATCATGAAAGACGACCATGTAACTGTGCATCTTATTTCCGCCGCACTTAAAGGGTTAAAACCCCTTTCCATGGCTACAAAAAGTCACCACTTTTAAAGTTTGAACCACCTCAAAATGTAAGTTTTGAGAGGAAAGATGTGTGCTAATGTCTTTACAAATAGATAGGTGGGTGAAGGTTATGGATGTTAGTGTCTTTGAAATGGGTCTTAATGTTTCTACTGACTTTGGGCAGCAAGTTTGTTACTGGGCACTGACAGTTTGGCTCCTAAATAGACAAGGGTCTGCACGAGCCTGAACTTCTGAACTTTCGGATAAAATATCAGGTTCAAGGGGGGATATGGGGTAGGTAGTTTGTGAAGGCTGTACCTTCCTAGTACTTCAGCCAATGGGGAAGAGGGCAATGTGCGGCCAGGAGTTTTGGATAAAAGGGAGGCTGCAGCTCTGAAACCTCAAGAGAGAAAAGACCCATGGGCATGTGCCCCAGTGGACTCTGTCCCTTTATTTAAATAAAGTTGAAGGACTCTTGTGTCTCCTTTTTGGACATAAACCTCTGGCGTTTATGGATGTCCTGGGGTACAATGCAAAAACTGTCTATTCTATCACCATCTGTTAAAATGTAGGAGGGGTGGTGAACCTTATCTCTGTGGGAGATATCCTCTGCTGATGTGCCATCTCATAAAATCAGGGGGATGATCATCGTTATCTATTCACAACCCATCCTTCCTCCAGAAGATATCTTCTGTTAATGGGCCATTAAGTCCTATTGTGTGACTGATAAGATTACATCATCCCATTGAGAGATGCCCCAGCCAGGGGCAGGAGCCAAGCCTTTCCTACCTAGATAAAAAACTGGGGTTTGGGATGCGAAGGCAGTCCTTTCCACTGGATCCCAGAGGAAAGTCGGACCTTTTCCACATCATCGCTGGACCTTCGGAGGAAAACTGCACCCTTCTACAGGAGCACTGCTTCAACTGAATCACATCCGTCATCCAGGAGGACTGCAGCCACCATTTAATGGGACTGCTACCAACACCCTGACAGGGTGTCAGGTTGTATTTCTGACTGTGTTGGTGGTTGTTTATTTTATATTATTGCATGTATTTTATTTTTTCTCTTTTCTCCTATTAAATTGTATTACTGACTTGGAGTCTCGCACTGGTTTTACTTTCAAACCAACACATTTATTGGGGCCCGAAGTGAGGCACGAAGGGTACAGAGAAGAGTCAGTATTACAATTTTGTATTCACCATGATTCTCAACATGCTTACATGGGTTTTATATCTTGCTCTCTATATTTTTCCGCACATGGGGAACTATCTGCCAGCTGTAATGCTCCTGTGTAGACCAGGATATGGTATAAAAATTGCTTTATTGGCCTGTTGTGTCTACTGCATGATAACCTCTGAGGCAATGAACATAATCCGGAATATATACTCGACTTTGTTTGCTTGTCCTAGTCTAGGTTGCTACATCCGGGGTTTTAACAATCACACCCAGCCCTTGGGGGGAGGGATAAAGGATGATTTTTTCCAATCTTTCCGACCTGATACAGTAGTTTTTGGAAATGTTGAGTTCCTGCTGGATGCTAAGGACAGCATAATATTGTTGTTAGTTCTGCTTTGTCTCCTCTGCACAGCCTTTACAGCCTACAACATGCTTAGAAACAAAACACTACATGGAGTATTGATGCGTATTCTTGAGGAAGAGGAAAAAAGAAACAAATCAACTTCGTCCACGACTGCACAGAATGTCACAAAGAGGAGAAGAACCAAACACAAAGCAACAGTGTCCGTGTCTATGCAGACTGCCACAGAGGAGAAAAAAGCCAGAAGCGCCATCAGCATCTCCACACAAACCATCACTGAACCAGAACAGCCTAGACCAGTAGCAGTTGCCCCCGTTCAGAAGAAGAAATCAAAGAGCAAATCAGTCCACATAGTGACTGACGAGGACGTGGCAGGACCTTCACACCCAGCGGAAGAGACAGAGCCTGAAATCATCACTCGCTCTCTATCCCTGGGTGAGCTGCGTGACCTGCAGAGGGAATTCACCCGCCAGACAAATGAGTCCATCTTGACCTGGCTGCTCCGCATCTGGGATGCTGCAGCCAATGACACCATTCTGGATGGAAGTGAGGCCAGGCAACTGGGATCTCTGTCCCGGGATGTGGTCATTGACCAGGGGACTGGGAGAACCCAAGAAACTCTCAGCCTCTGGCAGAGACTGCTGACAAGTGTAAAAGACAGATACCTTTGTAAAGAAGATCTCCAGGTGCACCAAGGAAAATGGAACACAATAGAACAAGGTATCCGATTCCTGAGGGAATTGGCCGTGCTGGAGATCATTTTCTCAGAAGATGAGAGATTTCCTAAGAGCCCAGACTGTGTCCGGTGCACGTCACAGATGTGGTTTGAGATTCGCACGGCTTGGACCAGAGATGTATTCCCGTTACCTGGCAA